TATTGCGATCTCATACTTTTTTGAAGATGTAGCAAACCTTACTTAAACACATCATCACACAGTGACAGACAGACATTGATAACACCCAGAACATGAGACTATATATGAAAACCTAAGTGAAACTAGATGTAATAATAGAAAATTCAACAGAATTTCTTAAAGGTTTTTTTACTATTATCAATTTTAATCAACATATTTAGAAAATCAGACCCAAAATGAAGAGTTATACTTCATTAATTCATTATTTCCATGTTTACTCCTATACCCTTATATACAAACTGCATCACACCACAGATATGAAAGTAGATGCACAAAAATGATAAATACTACAGCCAGGAATGACCTTTAAGAGAGAAATTATCTTCAGGAGAGAAATGCATTTCTTTGTCACTAGTATTCTAATGGGAATTAAACCAATAAAGAAGCCCAAATTTTCTGCAGGTAGACAGATTTCCAGGAAGACCCCATGATATCAACAATTGTTCTCCTTCTTGTGGGGGAAGCATGAGAACAATAAGAAGGTATGTTGAGAGAAGGTGATTTGGCATAGAAATACAGAAAAGGCAATGACTGTAGTCAACCTCATGCTGAAGAAACCCGTGCTCCTGAATTACCGTACCGCAGTTTGCATTCCCTCCCACCCATCCTCCCTCTCTCCCTCCCTTCCTTCCTTCTTTCTTTTTCTGAAGAGAAAAATAGGACTACAAAAACAAAAGGAAATGACAGAGGGGATACAGGAGGGAAAAAAAGAAGAAAAATTAAAAGTATTAATAAATACAAAAGAAAATAAGGAAAAGGAAGAGAGGACAGGAGGGAGGGGGGAGAAAGAGGGAGGAAGGAAAAGGGGCGGGTGGGTCTTGGTTCTAATTGAATCCGGATACAAGTAAGAGGAAAAGTCAAATTTTTGGCAAGTGTTTTATTAATGGCATTAAAAATAGAAATCCTTAGCCAGTAAATCCTTCAAAATATGTAAAGTTCATCTTACAGTTATCTTATTTATCTGCCTACCTTTTTGCAATCAGTTTCATAAATCTGCATTTCATTCTCGTCCTCAACCTTATTTAGGGCTATTATTAATATTATTATTGGAGACCATGTTCTCATATGCAGTTACTATTGAGGTTGGAAATTATCATTTACATCACATCTTTAGGCTTCTACTGCTGATGTTTATTTTAAAAACTTATGTGACACAGCCTGATCCAACAAAGGCCTCTTTCATTCAGGAAGTCTTTCTAAAATGGTGAGATAGAGAATATCAGCTTAATAAGGTCAGCTGCAACCTGTTTCTTAACTGTTAGATAGATGTATCTGATCACTATCCATCTACATTACACATTTATTGGGGAAAACTCACCTGCAACAGGGATGGGGCTAGAGAGTTCTTGCATATTTGCTAAAAGGAAAAAAGTTTTATAATATCAGTACTAAGGACCCTTAGGAGTATGTCTGAAATCATAACCAACTCAAAACCCTTCTATGAACCAGGACTAACACCTGAGTCTCCTGGGAAAGATCCTATTGTCTGCAACAGAGTCAGTGACTAATGTAGAGGCAGACAGCTCTCCTTATCACCCACCCATCCATCTCCCTCCTGAAAATCACATCCTAAATAGGAAGTAAATGATATAAAAATAATGCTACCAAAGCATACTTATTTACTTCTAGGCAATAAACTTTACCTTTATAGTTACAATTAGTTCTCATTTATTTATTTTTATTTTACAATACCTATCATTTCAGTCCATTTGGAAAACAAATACATAAAAATACAAAGACAACACACACAAGAATGTATATTTGTAAAAATTACTAATCAGTATCAATAAAGCATTTTCCTTTCATTTTCATTTCATTTAAAAGAATGTTGATTACATTCTGCTTTTCACTCAAAATAAAATGGTGAAATGTCTTTTGTGTCAGAATTTACAAATACATTTTCCTATATATGTTCATTTAATTATTTCATATTATTACAAATTTTCTCAACATTTTACAACTGCAAGCAGTAATTGTATGTAATATAAATTATTATATAGATGTAACTACAAGCCAATATCTATAAATTTGTACTGTAAGATTTTGTTTATAAAAGTGGCTATTATTTCTTGTTGCATTTGTACATTCAGCATCAAACAAGATGCCTCTCGCTAAGTATATTTTTATAATTATAAATTTAGTAAATAAATTATTTACCTTACGTAATTAAACAAGAAGAAATCAGTAAAAATTAAATCTCTTAATACATTGGATATTATGTTAAATACTGAATATTTATTATACCTAGGATGATTAGTATAAGCCAGTAATGGTAGATACCAACTCTTAATCAGTGGCATGTTTAGAAATTGTTATAAATTTTAATTCTGAATAATCAGTCATGGAAGAAAAACATCTATGTCTCTATTGAGGGATTTTTTTTTAACACCTAAAAGGCTGGAAAGAAATGAAAACATTTACTTCATTGTGGGCCACTAAAACAGCCAATTTTGAATCCTGCCCTACACCAGTCTTACTGCTATGTGAAATGATATATTTCATTATAGTTGAAGTAAATTTAAACCATGTGGGTTTTTTATTTGCAACCTGGGCATCTTAACCAGAATGATTACAATAAACATATTTAAGACATTTATTCTATAATGTTAAAGTCACTTGTCACAAATAATCTGTCAATTTACATTCCATTTTGCTTGAATAAATCATTGGGTTGGAAAGATGTGATCTACTCACTCACTCACTGCTTTTAAAATCAAGTCATTTACTCACATCTTTTCAATGCACTATAATGTAAAATAATATCCTATTCTCTGTAGCTTTTTTGTGTACAAAACTTTTTCCCCAAGTGTAATTTATACTAATACATACATTTAGTATCACATTTCTTTTGGTATACTATGACTAATATTAAACATATCTTTTTCTGATTCTTTCTTAGATTGACTCATTCAATAGGCATTTATTCAGTAGCTGTATGAGTCACACTGAGAGTCACTGAATGAATAAATAAATATCAATTTCCCTGTGTTCTAGGGGGAAAGAGGATGATAGGCATTTAACCCATGTTATAATATTAAACTATAAGTAAGGTAACTAAGCATAAGTATACAGAAAACAAAGAAAAGTGAATATAACTCTACTTTTAAGAGTGTGATAAAAACTGGTCTACAATGTGCAAATATATAAAATTTGTTGTGTGGACCACCATGTTTGCTTATTACAAACATATTTGAACAACAGGTTTTAAAAAGACAGTGAAACGCAAATGTCAGAAAATTGGTGTGGCACTAGTATGTAGTTACTGGTAAGTGAAACTAAAGAAATATCTTGTATAGTAGGTATATTTGGATTGTAGAGTCATTTATCAACAAATAAGCATGTTTCTGCAAAAAACAACTCCCCACAAATTTGTTAAGTGTAATGAGTAAAATGAAGTTGGGAGAGATATTTGGCATAGAGAATGTAGTCAATGTCAAAATGCCATATGCTAGTTCCCAGTATTTAGATATTAGCAGCAGAGATAGAAATGAAAATACCTAATAAAATTATAAAATGAAATCTGCTGGCATTGATGACTGAAAGTGGCTGATGAAAAAGAGATGTGACACATAGAGTCATCTCATAAAATACAAAGAATGAAGGTACAGAAGATGAGAAAGAGAAACATGCAATAGATAGTCTGAGAAAATGAGCTGAGATGATAAAATATAAAATATTGTGGAGTAAAACTGTCAATTCTGTAAGTAATTATTTCCAAATTTAAAAATTTTATTGAATAAGACCTTCAAGAAATTCACAATGTTTGTATATTAATCTTTTGTTTGTGGATGTATGTGTGAATATGTATAACTAATTTTACTTTAGTCAGGTCGCAAGTTTAGGGAATTTTATATCAGAGTGAATGAAAAAACAAAAACCCATAAATATCTCTAATAGTAGAAATGTCGTAAAGGGGGAGAAAATAAAAAGAAAATATTGTAATAAAAGTAATAGCAATGATACTAGTAACAGCTAACAACTATTTAGTATTTTCTATAAAGAACATGCAGGGTACTATACTAATAATGCTAGAAATATTATATCATTAAGCCCTGCCTACTTAAAAGTAAAATAGAAATTACAAACATATTTAAAAGATAAGTAGTTAAGAATCATTGAAACATATGTTAAAAGTGGAACTAAAACTGAACCTGAGCTTTGCTTGATATGAAAATCATATCAAGCATGAGACAAAACAAAGGAAAAAACATGAGACAGAACAAAGGAAAAAAACACAATAAACTAAAATGAATACAAATATAAGCTAGAGGACAAATAAAACTGTAAGAGAAAATCAATACATCTAGACTATAAATTGTTCCTTTAATTATGTTGAAACCATAGCTTGGTCCATCAGAAAAACTAAATAAATTTCTAAAAAATCTTTAAAAGTTTTAAGGAAGTGATTTGTGGTCCCATTTATTTTCTCACTTTCTTTTCATGTACAAAATCAGTTAATTCATGGCACAACTATGGATCTTTTTATTGTTTAGATGAAATAGCATGATATTATATAAATATAATTCTTATGATAGAATGAAAATGACATATTGCTGAAGTTAGAGAAAAATAAAGGAAAAGAAAGGAGGACATGGTGTGGTTGCAGAGTAAGACTTGTGATAGTGATACAGGGAGGTTTGGAGATAAAGAAAAACAGAGAAACCTGAAACATTCACGGGAGTGACAGAGTTGGGTAGTACACAAAAAATAAGGCAGGCTCTGTAAAAATCTTAAATCTAGTAACATCAGAGATCAAAGATCACAAAAAAACTCTAATGAGTTCTCATGAGTCATATAAATTAGATTACAAAGTGTAGGCTTTCAATTTCTGAGCACAACATACAAGAAGAAGCCAAAATAAGTAAATATTTCTGTAAAACATATTTAAATTTACTTAATATGAGATGGTGTTTCTCTGCTTAAAAGGTTCATCTCATATGTATTAGGTGCTTTTCAATGCTTTATTTTTGTAATAATATTTTCTTCACACGGTCATAGATCTGCTTGGTTCTGACTCCGTATATGATAGGATTGAGCATTGGTGGCACTACAACATAAAGATTGGCCATAAGTATATGTATATAGCGGGGCACATTTCGGTCAAAGCAATGTGTCATAAAGGAAAAGAGGGCTGGTGTATAGAAGGCAAGGATTACACAAACGTGGGAACCACATGTGCTGAGGGACTTGAGTCGGGCTTCACGAGAAGGAAGACGGAAAACAGCACAAAGTATCTGGATGTAAGAAAGAGCAATGGCTATAATGTCAAACACTAGGATTGAAATAGCACCCAAGCCATAGATGATATTGATCTTGATACTGGCACAAGACAGACGAGCAAGACCCATATGCTCACAGTATGTGTGGGGAATGACATAATTCCCACAGAAGGGCAATCTCAAAATGAGGAATACGAATGGAATAACAGAAATAAATGACCTCACTACCACACCAAGACCGATCACAGAAACAACCTTGTTGGTGAAGATGGTGCTATATCTGAGTGGGTTGCAGATGGCCACATAACGGTCATATGCCATTGCCAGGAGGACTGCTGACTCCATGCCAGTGAAGTTGTGGATGAAAAACATCTGGGTGAGGCAGGCTTCAAAGGTGATCTCTCTGAAGCTAAACCAGAAGATCCCAAGCATTTTAGGGATGGTAGCTGTTGAGAGGCCCAAGTCAATGGTAGCCAAAAGGGCCAAGAAGTAGAACATGGGTTGATGTAAGCTGCTGTCAGTCTTGATTGCCAAGAGAATAGTAAAGTTTCCTGTGAGTGCAACCATGTACACAGCACAAAAGGGAAAGCCGATCCAGATGTGAAGTGTTTCTAGTCCTGGGATTCCCAGCAATAAGAAGGAAGAAGGATGAAACTGGGTGTCATTGGGAAGGAACATCCTGCTTGTGAATGCATAAGTCCATGGTCATTACAAATATGTGTTCACCAAACTGCAGAACTCCAAGTAAACTCTGCAGAGTTGGAAACCGTAAGAAAAATAAGAATATCATACAGGTGTACACATTCTATTCCTCGTTAATTCACACAAATAGTCATGTAATACATATAGAACAGCATGATAGTATTCCAAATATTAATAAATTAGTAACTATAGTCTCCCTACTGTGTTATCAAACATTAGAACTTTAAAAAAAAATCTTTTTTGTACTCATTAACCAACCTCTCTTCTTTTCCTCCCATATACCCTTCCCAGCCTCTGATACTCATGGTATCTACTCACTACTTCCATGAAAATGTTTTTTAGATGCTACATATAAGTGAAAACATATGACTTTTGTCTTTCTGTGCCTGGCTTATTTCACTTACATAATACCCTCTAGTTCCATCCATTTTTGAAAAATGAACATGTCCCATTTGTTCATATTTATCTATCATTATTATGAAACTATGAAGTAAATATATAGTCAAAAAAGGAGCACCCATGATCATTTATCAAGTTACTGCCTACTACTTGCAAAGACATATCAGAACATGTGCAAATATTATATATATGATATATACATATATAGAATAAACACATATAAGATAACATATTTAACCCCATTTCACAACAGGTCTCAACTAGTTGAAAACAAGCACCAAATGCTTAGGTTATAAAACCAAGAAATGAAAGTAGAGAGGAAAGTAATGAGTGAAAATAGAAAGAGACTGGAAATAAGGAAAAGATAATTCATGTCTTATTTGTATCACATACAAGGGGAGCATAAAAAACCTCTGAATTTATTTGTTAAAAATTGTGTATTTATTCTTACATGTTTAAAATTCAGTCACCTTCAAAGTACTCTCCGTTTGATGCAATGCACCTAAAGACATGCTTTTTCCAGTGCTCAAAACAGTTTTTGAACTTGTCAGTTTTGATACCTTTTGGTGCTTCTGTCACTTTTGTTTTGTTTAGTTTCACCCTTCCACATTAGCTAAATATTTCCCTTTGAGGACTTTCTTCATCCAGGAAACAAACAAGAAGTCAATGGGGAAGAGATAGAATGAACAGGGAGGGTGGGACACAGAGATCTTGCTGTTTTTCTCAAAAACTTAACACTCAGCGCGATGTGGACAGGTTTATTGTTATGATAAGAAGAAACCAGTCACCAGATTGCCACAACTTGGGATGTTTCTTCTGCAAATCACTACACAATCTTCTCAAAACTTCCAAATAAAAATCTATGGGCTCCTAGAACACTTACCTAGAGGGAGAATCCTGTACTATAAGAGGCCCATCCTCCGAAGGATAATACCAGTTTTTCTTTGGGGGTTAGTACCCCCATCCTGTGCAAGATTCTGCCTTTCAAACAAATAATCCCTTTTTAAACATACATCCATCTGAATAAGAAATATAGGTACCTTAATTTTAAACCTGAAGAAATCATGATTTTAAGTTTTTAACATATTTGGCAAATATTTTGAAGACTAAAGAGATAAAAACATATTTTGAGCACTGGATTATTAGAAGCAAACAAAAATGTATCATTTTTAGAGTTACTTAAACTGTTTTTAAATATTTTCATGCACCTTACTTAATGGCATTTGTTAGGGAAGTATTTTCAAAGCATTCAGTCATTCATTAAGTGTATTTGTTCTGTAGTATATAGTCTTTTGGTTTCTTTGTATCACCGGAGGTTGTCAGATGAGCAACACTAGTAATGAGTACAGTTTCAGGAAGATAATCAGGATATGACCTGAAGATAGATATGAGTGGAGCAAAGTCAAGAAGTCAAAAGAAACAGGTCCAGAAGAAACTGTTAACGGAAGGAGCAGTACAATATGGGTGGAAAATAGGGAACTCCTCAAAGGAAATGGTAAACATTTGAAAAGATGCAAAGGTCAGAACAGAGGATGTTATTTGCAGGAGGCATATTGTGGAATGCTCAAAGAACAGTATTTCTTCTATAATGTTCTGCTTTTATAATAGGATTCTGAGTACATTAAGAAGGTGTGACATGGACAACATAAAGAGTGAAAGTAAGATTCAATCATATAAGCAATTTTTTATGATTTATGAATATATATGACAATGGGGGATTTTCTATTCAATAAAACTTTATGTATTCTTAAATAACATTTCTGAAGAACAGTAATGTAGGCAATTATCTTAGCTATAAAAACAATGTTCTCACTTTTTCAGTATACCCCTATGTAATAGAATCTTAGTAAAGAAAAAATTACTTTGGCTAATAAGTGCAGAGATTCTCATTAAATAAAAGAAAAACTACATATCTGTTTTTGTTTTATTTTTGGAAGAAGAAGAAATAGTGTTATAGTCCTTCTTTGCAAATAAAATAATGGGGAAATTATATCTCAACTCAGATATTTATATTCTTCTCTAGTGGAAGGTTAAGAAGACAGTGATGTGAATACCAAGTAGAAATAAGGAAGACATATACAGAACAAGGAAATTGTGTAGTTTTCTGTCTTATGTCATTACAATTCAATCAAGTGGCTAGATCAGAAATATGAACAATGCATTCCTCTCCTCTTCACACACTTAAAATAATATTCTAGATTCTACTTCTGTAGTTAAAATCGATGCATTTGTTTTCATTCTAGTGGGATTATCAAGTGTTTTGCAGTGCTTAAAATCATGAACTCTGCAGTCAGATTATGTTGAAACCCACCTTCATAACTTATTTACTCTCTTGTCAAAAGAAAGTATTACCTGCTACCTGGGGGACTTTGCACATGTAATTTAACATCTCTATATGTCTATAAAATAGAGATAATAAAAATAAATAATCCTAAATATGTCATTAGTTTTAAACAGGTATTTATTTTAAGATACTTTGAAGCATATTCCAAAGATATATTATCCACCATTCTTTAGATATTAGTAGACTGACTATCCTAAAATGTATATACAATGAATTCAAGCTGAAATCAAAATCTTCTATTAGAACTATATGACCCTTCTGAGCTGTAATATCATTCATTCTCTAAGCATCGATCTTAGTCTTCTTTCTGCAAAGTGTTTTGTCTTCTCTTCCTCTTTAATTATCCCTCTTTCCCCTTGTATGTATCATTGTTTCCCAAGATTCACCTGTGAGCTGGGAGACAGGGAAGACTCACCAGGATTAGCCAGGATAAAATCCTACCTGTCTCTGTGATGTTTTAGTCTGCTCAGTCTTTATGAGGACACTCCTCTTTGCCTGAGGTAAACTTTTAATTTAAAAAAATCCTTCAGAGTCTGCTTTAAAAACAAAACAAAACAAAACAAAACAAGGGTCTCTTAGGATTCTAGTTTGTAATCTGGCCCTGTCTCAAGAAGAAAGAACCACTAGAGGGCTCTGACTTTTAAGGAAATAATGGCAGGAAAGTGAGGCTTAGGTCCCCAAGATGACAAAATAGAAGGTTCCACTCCTCCTCCTCTTACAAAAACACAAAATTTAACAATTATTCATGCACAAAAAAACTTTTATGAAAGTTCTTAAATTCAAATTATAACACCCTGGTGTAGCATAGAATGAGAGAAAAATAAAACTTAAAAAAAAAGTTTTACTTATCTACGTCTAACTTTTTTCCAACCTGGCAGAGTGCAGTTCTAAGAGAGAAAGAAAGAAGCCCTCAGCCCCAGAGTTCTCTCATGGGTAAAAGAGGGAGCAAATAAAATGTGATATAATTCAGTTTTAAGAGAGAAAGAAATACTGTCATTTATGACAACATGGATAAATCTGGAGGACATTATATTAAGTGAAATAATCTAGGCACAGGAAAACAAACACTACATGATCTCACGTATATGTGAAATCTAAGACAAACTCATAGAAGCAGTGAATAGAATACTATTTACAAGAAGCTAAGAGGTAGGAAATTTGGAAAATGCTTATCAAACACAAAATTTCAGTTAGGACAAATAATTTTAAGAGAGCTATTGTATATCATAATACAATAATTAATAACAATATATTGTATACTTGAAAATTGCTGAGAGTAGATTTTAAGTGTTCTTACTCACCCAAAATGAAAAATATGTGAAGAAATATATATGTTCAATAGCTTGATTTAGTCTTTCTGCATGTATTCATATATTAACAGATCATGTTGTCCATTATAAATATTTACAATATTTTTCCTGTTAATTAAACAAAAAAGATCAAGTGAGCCTCCCCAAATATATTTATATACACATACCCAAAGACAATTATCATTATTCTCCATCACTAGGTTTTGTAAAGTTGTCATGAACACTGAATTAGCAAATATGGACCATTCTCATTACTCTTAGAGAAAATATAGGGTTAGGTTTTTCTGAGCCTCTGGTCACAACATTTTTTGCCAACTGATCAATACATAATCTGGTTTTTATAGATGTTTTTGCTTAAGGACATCTTATTTAATATGTAGTTATTGCAAATAATTAATTGAACAGCCTTTGACTGATTTAAAACCAGTAGCTTTGGAGTTCATTTGTGTTATATAGGATTCTTTGCCAATGTCCTTATATTGTGTCAGACTCATCAGCATTAAAAACCTACTCTTCCAGATAATTATTTTTCTGCATAACACTTAACAGGCATTGAAAAAATTCTTCTGAACCTCCTTGATATGCAGAATTTACCTCAGTGGCAAGAATACAGTTTTTCATGCTTTAATGTCTTTAGAACTGTGTGTGACAGCCAGTACCAGTCAAGAAAAGTTTGACATTTTTCTGACCCTAGTTAACTTGAATGCAATTATTTTTTTACTTTCAATCTCACAACATTGCTCTCCCCTATACTGTTTTATTTGTTGATCTCTCATGAGTCCAAAAACTTAGCTTTTTTTATCCGTTAAAAACTGAAATTGTAACATTTCTAGTTTGAAAGTTTAATTGACTTTTATTAGTGATGCATGAATCTGTTGGCACTTCCATTTAAAATTAGAGGGAGTTCCAGCTGGCAGAACAGA